TACTCACACTTTTTGGTAATCAGCCTTTTAAGGTCAAAAGCGCTGGTAATATGGTGGGCTGGGGGCGGGGGCAGTGGGGGGCTGTTAACACAAGATCAGCAGTTTGAACCCACAGCCAGGACCACGATGTGGCTCTTTGCCCCAGGGAAGGTTTACAGCCTCAGAGCCCTTGTGTTGCTGCTGTGAGTTGGAATGGACTGGGTGATGGCGAGTTCCTTTTCTGTTTTAAGATAACAGCCCTGACCACGGAGGAAGTTAGCAGGCTTAGGAAAGAAGAAGGAATGGTAGCAGGAAACAGTGGGAGGAAGTGAGATACATGATGGTATATTAAGGAGATTGCAGCGAATGACATAAAACCAAGTACAGATCACTTATTCCATGTAAACCTGATGACCCGCTCTGTAAAACTTCACCCAATTCACAATAAAAGGTTAAAAAGAGCAAAACAACTATATCGAAGAGAGATCCTATAGATTCCCTCACACAGGGTCTTACTTAGCAAAACCTCCTGCTCCATTTATATTCTTAGCTTTAAACAGCTCCTTTTTACTTTGAATTTTTTGCATTCCCACCTCTTAGTATTTATCGTGATGGCCCTATGTGTCTTAAAGATGCTCTGGTGGCACAGGGGTTATGCATCTGGCTACTAAATGAAAGGTACATGGTTGGAACCCAGCGACCACTCCAGGAAAGATGTGGCAACTTGCTTCCGTAAAAATGCCAGTCTTAGGGCTCAAGTAGAAAGTAAGTGTTTTGAGAATGATGATGGCAACAAATATACAAATGTGCTTGACACAATGGATGGATGTTTGGGTTGTGATGAGGTGCACGAGCCCTCAATGAAGTGATTAAATTAATGACAAAATAATAATTTATGAATTATGATGGGTTCATGGGGGGGAGTGGGGAGGGAGGGGGAAAATGAGGAGCTGATATTAAGGGCTCAAGTAGAAAGCAAATGTCTTGAGAATGATGATGGCAACACATGTACAAATGTGCTTGACACCATGGATGGATGGATGGATTGTGATAAGAGCTGTTC